AACCGACATGAGCTTTAGCAGGTACAGATTATATATCCTTGAGAAGACGTAGCTAAATTTAATTAACAATCGTTCGAGCCGTTTATGAGAAATCGTGGAAAACGCAAAACTTTGAAGATTTGATAAATCTTTACTTAAAAACGCTCTTCGAAAAAAAATTCGTTCTCAAGACCAGCAAGGAACTAGTTGACCAAACGCACACAGTTTAAAAACAAGAGCAACAGCAACGTTTTAAGATATTTTTGAATAATTTTATTCAATAGAAATTTTTTAAACCGAGTGCGCAAAAGCGATAAACAAAACGAGAGTATGAAATGTTCGTGCGATTTCCTCCAAATCTAACATAAGAATTTCTTCAAATCCTTGATATTTTGTTTGTCATGAATTGGGGATTCTTAGGAGTTAACAGTTTTTCTACAGCACATCTGAATCGCGCGCACTTTTATTTTTTCCAATTTTCGATTTTTCTTCGATTTTTCTTGCGTTGAAGACTTTGATTTTAATAAAATATACATTAGTACAAACTTCAAACCAAGAGCAACAGCTGGTATAAATTCTTAAATGATCCAGCAAACAGAACATTGTCAACGCGACGATTGAAAAAGTTCTTTTTGGTGATCACGAAACGTATCGAAACACCTTAAAAACTTAATGGCTTTAGTTTTATTTCTAATATATTTCCAGGAAGGTAGTGCCAGTACCATCGTGTTTCTAAACTATAACACTTGCATATTTCATAAAATTAATTAATATTGGATGAGATCGAGGAGACTGAGAATGACACAGCTGAGGTCTTGATGGTTTAGAATATCATGTGAAACCAAAGCAGCCGTTCTATATTGCTTTTATAAAATATTTTTGAACGATTTTGCGCGAGCGTGTCTCTGTCCTCTGATATAGACACGCTGACCAGCCAATCAGGGCGCGCGTTATATCTCATATATTTTAAAAACTAGGATTATATTATTCTTACCTTTTCTTCCCATTGGAATGAGAGTGGATGAATAGCTACTCTGTAGAAATGCCACTGCTAATGTGTTTTATATTTATTTATKTTATTCTTCCTGTGTTTTGGGTGTTAAATTGTTGTGTTTTGATTTTCAGAATATACAGAAAAACTGAAGTCATCCATTAAACAGCAAACCGATTTTCTGTTGTCAGAGGAAGAAGACAAGAAAATTAGAACCGATGACATCTTTACGAGTGCGACTATCCAACGCGGTCCAAAACACTTCAAGGAACCCGAAGAAAGGAGATTTGGCAGCAGGCAATTGGATGAAATTCAAGCGAGTAGTAAAAAACTCGTGAACTGTTCAGAAATGTTTGTTTGCCCAGAAAATGATGATCAGAAATCCACAGCTTCTTGTACGACCAATCCTAAATCTATCTTGTTGACGGGCAAAGCAGGAATTGGAAAATCCCTTTTTTGTCGCATGCTGGTACGGGATTGGTCGCATGACCGATTGTTTGAGGAAGGTCAAGAAAATGCCAAAGTACCTGATTTTCAGTTTGTGTTCCTGTTGACATTCCGTCAACTTGTTCTTCCAGAAAAAAAAAGGCTTGACTTACGTGATATCTTAAATCGGTCTTCCCTACTGAACGAGCACTCGGTGATAGACGAGCCATTACTGCAGTACATGATTGACAATCCTGAGAAGCTGCTCATCATACTCGATGGGTATGATGAGTATAAACAACGAAAGAAAATCACCGGGGACTTTGAGACAAGATATTCAAACGACCCTGATGAAAAAATACCTGTTCCTGCTCTGATTGCCAAAATCATGAAAAGAAAGATGTTAAACGGTGCAGTGGTCCTGATATCCTCGAGGCCTGGCGAAGCCGAGGAATTAAAAAAACATGTCTTTGATGTTAGATGTGACATTCAAGGACTTTCTTCACAACAAGTGCTAGAATACATCGAAAAGTATTTTAAAGAGAACGAAAGCATGAAGAACAAAG